CTAACAATGACCATAAAGAAAATGGCACACGAGATTAAAACTAATCAAATGAAGACGTAAACCAGCGAAAGTATGCACCCACCTGATTTCCAATTATTGGAGAAAATTGTACATCAAACTCATTGAAGCACGACACCGGGATTCCATTCACGTCGACAGCAAATCGAACGCCGTAACCCAATGGCGAGCCGTCTTGAGTGAGAGTTGAAAGGGTGCCCACAGAGGATAACTCCACAATGGTTCGAGAAACCTCAGCTGGAAAAGGCTCGTTCTTGTCGGCGGAGTCCAAACGCGGCTGCCCTGAGACTGCATAGACTGAGCATTTCACAGGCTGCACCCAGAGTTTGCTTTTTTTCACTCAATGGCGTGAAGGAGGCCCGATTGAATTTGGGTCTAGAGAGAGAAACTGAGGGTTTGAGCAAATGGACCGAGGGGAGAAGCGAAGGGGAGAGGTTGGAGGTGAGAGATGGCGCGTGGAAGCTTTTTTTGAGAATGGTTGGGCCTTGATTGTTTATGAATTATTTTAATCACTTTTATTTCATACTCAAAATTTAACTCAATTTTAATTTAATTCTACTATCTTTAATATTATTCAAATAATTAAATAATATAAACTAATTATTCTTACACATCAAATCAACTTTATTCATCCACTTACAAAATTTTAACTATACATTATTTTCAATCATTTATCTGCTACTTTTACATCAAATCAATTTTAATCATTTTATTTTAAATATTATTTTAATATATTCTTAAAATTCTACTAACGATTAACCATACCACCTTTTCACAATAAATTATAGTTAACCAAAATAACTCAGTTTGAACAAATTATTTCATAAACAATCAAGCCCTGAGGAATTTAAGATGGATATTGTATTTTCTATTCAAGAATGTTATGTTTTTTCTTCACTAGCAGCGAGCGAATGGGAAGACTGCTGATAGTGATAACAGAAAGTCTTCNTTACTTTGGGGCATTTCAAAATCGAAATCGCATTGGGTTTGTGTTTTCTCTTAAGTGGGAGTCGTTGTCGTGCTGTGGGTGCGTTGACCGCGCGTCGCAACACAGCAAAATTATAATTTATATTTTTCCTTAACCGACTTCTACCAACTAGTAGTAGTAGTGAGCAAGGGTCGATCCCACAGGGAGTGTGAATCAAATCGTGAATTTTCTCGTATTAATTGAATTATAAAAGCAATAAAAGAGGGGGGTTTTGATTTAATGACTAAACTAACTAAAAATCTAATGAAATAAATAAAATCTAAACAAGAAAATAAAAATAAAAATAAATAAATGAAGAGAACTTTCTAGTTCACGGTTCCGTCTACACCCTCGACTGACTCGTCTAATCAATTTTAGCATCAAATCTCGCTATCTCATGAAATTACTAGCCCTAGGTAACGACACGGTCTGTTACCCGAATTTTTCCTTATTTTAATTTAACCGCGAGACGCTCTACGATTAAACCTGACTTCTTGTACAGTCCTTTTCAAGATTTAATACAATCAGCCGCTTTACGAATTAGAAAAATAGGCTAGACTAATTAGTGAACTCAACCGCATTCGTTCACTTAAATAGGTCGTGTTATCCCTTTAGTTACTATCTTCCGGTTACCTCTTATGAATTAAACACAACAGCAATTACGGATTGCAGGTCTAATTCAGATGTAGATATGAAAAGCCTAATCTAGGTGATCAATCTAAACAAGACTAACACATCATGGTGAATTATTCAAAATAACACAAGCAATTCCAAAAAGATATTAAAATCATCAACCATATAATCAATCAAAGCATAGTCAATCGTAGGGTTCGACTTTCCCGGAACTAGAATAAAGGACTACTCACTCATAGTGTTCAAAAACATAATCATAGAATTAATTACACAAGAAAAGAAAAAGAAAAGAAATTAAGAAATTCTTCTCTAATTCTCCAAAGCTTCCTGCTGCTGCTATGATTCGCGAATGAAAATAAAGTGTCCCCCTTCAAACCAAAGTCTCTCCAATATATCCCTTATCTTTTGCCACGTCTTTCCTTATGTATTACTGGTCAAAGTAATCGTCCTCCTCTCATTATTAGGCCACTATTTCAATATAAAACATCTGGGCCCAATCATATTAATTTCCCAGCACGTGAAATGCATGGGCCTATTGAGACGATATGGGCCGCTGCTGGTCAGTACGGGGATACCTGGGTCAGTACGGGACGACCCCGTACTCGCTGATAACACTTCTTCGTCCTTCTTCCGAACACCCACACCTCTTCGTGCAACAAAAATAGCTCCAAAAATACTGAAAACCACTCAAAAACTCATCAAAGCACGAGAGTTGATCATAATTCAAATAAGTCGAAAGATGCATAAATGTGGGAAATTAAACGTGCACAAATGTAATATTAGATGATTAAATGCAAGCACTTTTCTCGACTAATCATGCGTTGTCTAGTGTTGCTAGCTTAGGTTCTAGGCAGTTATTCTAATTTGTCCTCCCTTTTTTAGTCGGCTGTTAGTTGTCTTATTCAGCTGCGACTTGTTTCCTTATTTGTACATTTGTGCATCTTTGGCTTTTTTTTTTTATAAAATTTTATTCGTTTCGAAAAGAAAAAGAAATCGCACGAGTTACTCAGAGGAAATGAATAAACAAAAAAAAATATAAATTTTTAAGATTTCTAGATTTTAAATTTTGGAGGAATATTGTGAAATCCTAAGTTTGGAGGTGAAATTTTGAGTGCGATTTTGTATACAGTTTTTTTCTTTAGATATCCCAGTAAATTTTAAATAATCTTAACAAATTCTAATCTCAAATAAGTTAAACACCTCAAAATTTTGCAAGACTTTTTTAAAATTAAAATGCCAAATGTAGGGATAGGGCACTCTGCACCTCTTGAGAATTAGTCCCACGCCTTGGTGAGTGGATCCCCTAGGGCGATAGGCCTGAGTTCCCAGCTTTCCACCGGGCAGAGGCTCGCAGTTTGTTGTGAGACCGCTGAGTGAATGTGGGGATACCCCCAGTCGACAAAATAAAACAGAATAACCCAAGACTAGTGCTGCAAACGAGCCGAGCCGAGTCGAACATTGGCCTTATCGAGTAGGATTGAATTGTGTTTTTAGCTACTCGAGCTCGATTTATGAGGCTCGAGCTCGACTCGATAAGAAAATACAATAGCTCGAGCTCGACTCGAAATCAAATGCTCGAGCTCGGCTCGAGTTCGGCTAAAAAATTTTCAAGTGATATTACCATTAAACACTTGTGTTATACTATTTAAATATATAAGGGGTATTTTAGAAATTTAATATATATAACGAGTCGCTCAACAATGCAAAATATGGGCTCGATCTCGAGCCGCTCGAGTTCGGTCAAACTCGAGCTCGAGTCGAGTTTTGACTCGAGCGCTCGTGAGCCGCTCGACTCGTTTGCAGCCCTACCAAGACTTTTAAAAGTCTTTAAATAGTCTTAAGAGTCTAAATTAAATACGCTATGATTTCTAAAGTTATAAAAATTCTTTAGAAATTCACACATATAACATGTCCATGCGATTAGACATAGGCCAAAACCGGTTCCAGGTCCAGTTCCGAGTCAAGGGTTGGACGACCCTGAACTGGCTCGAATATATGAATGGGCTGGTTCGGTGAACCGACAGTTCCAAACCGGTCCGGTTCACAAAAAAAAATTCTACAGTGTCGTCAAGCGTTTTAATGAAATGATTACGTCATTTTCTATCTAATCAAATGTCACCACTTGTCATCCTAGACTAGACCACAACACATCATATATTTCCTTTTTCAATTGTCTATCACCACTGTGATGAATGAATATCATGCGTGTATCCATATGAATTGATTAAAAAAAATAAATCAAAAGTAATGAAATACCACAAATATAATCAAATAATACATAAAATTATAAACAAACTACAAACAATAATACATAAGTGATATGCTTGTCGGGCATACGCTTTGATTTTTCTTCTCGAGGGTATGGGATCACCTCGGCTCATGTTTATGCTCCAAGGTGGGTAAACTTGCTCGTCACCTACTCGGTTGGAGGATTGACCTCTCTTCTTTCCCCTCGAGGTGCCGGCCTCTTCTTGATAGGCAGGATTGAAGGTCATAATCTGTTGATTCCCGCCCTGTTGCGGCCTCTTCCTCCGGTGGTGGACATCGGAATCTTCATCGATGTCGGGGCTGTCCTCGAATCGGCCCCCTTTTTTCTTCTTGTCGCTGGAACGAGTGAAATTCTTCATTTGTGGGTCGTCTATCAGTTTCAGAAGTGTCGAGATCAAGCTTCGGCACTGATCGGTGTTGTGTCCATGCCTCTTGTGATAGGCACAGTACCGGGACTTGTCAAGGTGGCTCTGGTCAGCCTGCATCGGCTTCGGGTCTGGGAGTAACCCCTTGGTTTTGATTAAATCGTAGACTGCAGTTGCCCTCACTAAAAAGACGCCCTGGTAGTTTTTCTTGAGCTCATCGACTCTTTGTCTTCTCAGAGCTTGGACTTCGGCCATGCTCTTGCTCAGCTTCCCCGACTTTTCATCTTTTGCCTTTCCTTTGGATGGCGCTGCCTCGAACGTCGAGATTGACATGGATTCCTCGGCCATGATGTAGTCCTGAGCTCGAGCTAGAAATTCCTGGTAGGTTCTCGGCTTGTTCTGGCGTAAGGACCATTTAAATAATGTTTTTGGCCTCAGGCCGGCCTGCACAGACACCAACAAGGTCTCGGGGTGGCATTGCTCCATATTTTGTACTCGGTCGTTGAACCGAGAGATGTAATCCTTCAGACTCTCCTCGTTCCCTTGAACTATGTTGGTTCGACTCCTTCGGGGCGAGGTTTATCTGGAACCCAATAAAGTGTGAGCGGAATGTTGTAGCAAATTATTTTATTTTTTTACCGTGTACCGAATCGAAGGATTCGTTACCCGAGTCGATCTCTCGAGGAAGACTGTTCGGAATTTAGCGTTGGTCTTGATCACACTCGAAAAGAAAATAAGTCCTAAACACTCTAATCACGATTGATTTGGGGAATTAACTAAAACAAGGTAGAACTAGAAAAGCAATTTAAAGAAATAACAATTAAATTTCTAGAGAAAAAGAAGAAGTTCTAGGGGTCGGAAAATCTTATCAAGTCTCAAACTATGTTGAACGCTTATTTGTTCGGTTACCAGATTAAACAAGCCTACATGTCTAGAGGGCTATGCTCAATAACTCTTCGTAACAAGAGCACAAACATAAACGATAAATTCATTCAAACAAGCAACACATAGACAATACTTTTACGAACATGTCTACTCTATACGAGCCTAAATCGACCGACGTCTCTCCTCTCGATTCTAAACGTCGATTAACTAGGTTAGAATGGTGATCAATCAACTAACCATATAATTCACACAAGTCGTATAGATTGAACAAAACACATTCCTCATAATTCAAAACAAGAATCAAAATCCCTAACCCTAGGTGAATGGATTACCTCATGCTTAGATTCAATTTCATGTTAACCGGAATAAGAACATAAAACCAGTCAACAATAATAAAATAGAATTGAAAAACTTACAATCGGATTAAGAATTGCAAGAGAGATAAAAAAGAAAAGCGGAGAAATTTATCCTAACAATATTGAGTTTTTGGAGAGAAAAATTGAAAGGAACGATATTGGGGGTTGTTCCTTAGGTCTGGGTGATCGTTTTGATATATAGTGCTCGAAAAATGGAGCTAAAACGAGTAAAAACGGAGAAAAATAAAAACAGGGTCGAACAGGTCGCCACTCGCGAGTTGACTCGCGAGTCGCGAGTCTGACGGGTCGTGGGGTTGCGCAGCTGGTCGGAGGCTCTGTTAAAGTCGCAAGTCGCGACTTTGCTCTCGCAAGTCGCGACGTAGGCTCGCGAGTCGCGACTTTTCTCGCGAGTCGCGACTTTTCTTGCGAGTCGCGACTTTGGACTGCACTGCGCCATTTTACGTTTTGGGCTCGTTTGGGCTCGTCCGA